TGCATTCGTACAAGTGATTTCTTTTCTGGACAAAGAGTGTGTAAAACTAGGCAAATGATTTGTAGATCTGACCGCTTTCGTTTAATGAAATACCCATAATCAATGTTGTTTTCTACTTTATGTTTTATGTTTAACTGAATATGTAAATATTCTTTATTTTATATGTATATATAGGGATGGCATATATGTATATATAGTGATTTTGTTATGCATGAAACTCCGAGTCACACTCACTGTGATGAATTATATATATATATATATATATATATATATAAATTTGGATATAGAATTATAAATTATTGACAATTGGAAAAACGTTCAAGAAAGTCTAATATTTATAAAAAAAACATGCGACTATGGATTTCGCCGATTAGGCTTCATCAAATCGAAGGCGAGAAAATGAGTTGCTTGTGGATGTATTTGTGTATGTTTAAAATAATGAAATCTTTTATTTTTCCAAGGCTGACGTTGCTCATTATTAAAAAAGAAAATTTTTCCCCATTGTCAATAATATATATATATATATATATATATATATATATATATATATATATATATATATATATATTTTATATATATATTTTTATATATATATATATATATATATATATATATATATATATATATATATATATATATATTTCAAAAGAATTAATGTGTTAATTTTTAATTTGACAAACGTTATTATTAGTGGATAATCGTATTTGCAATAGATTTATATATATATATATATATATATATATATATATATATATATATATATATGTGTGTATATATATATATATATATATATATATATATATATATATATAGAGAGAGAGAGAGAGAGAGAGAGAGAGGCCCTGTTTACATAAAATCAGATTACTGAGTATGACATACGGGTGGAGGGTAGGAATATTGTGTTAAGTGAATTCCACATTTGAGGGGGGGATGTGTGCAATAGTGTTATCTTAAATTTCCAGGAACCAGTTCTATAAATGCGGGAAATCTCTAAGAACCCGTTCCCTTTATATTCTTTCCAATCTGAGAATGGAAACAAACCACTTCATAATATCAAAATAGAATTAAACCATTTTAATAATTTAATAGAAAACATTTATTTCTTAAGATATTCTTAATTCTGTTCTTATCATATTTCTGATGCTTTTTGATTCTAGTGTCATCAGCTGTGTTAGGTTTCTTAGCCCCATTTGAACCTGAATCACTTAAGTCCCAAAGACCCAATAGAAAACCTATCAAATTTATGACTACAAGATTTGCCACATTTTTAACTTCAAGATGATTTCATTTGTCAGAATAAATTATGTTCATCACAGAAAATCCTCTTTCAACCCCCGCAGAACTTACAGCAATGGCATTATTTATATTTTTAGCTATTATATATCGGCTATTAATATATAAGATTATTTTCGGATAATCCAACAATCGGTTCGCTACGCTTTTTATTATTTTAAGAATTGGTTCGCGCGAATTTTGAGCTGAATTCTAACCTCCTGCACCAGAGGATATAAACAAAAACAAAAAAAAATCACCCGCAAAGCAGGACTTTAAAATATTTACCGAGCCTAGGGTGAGAAGCACATATGGGGATCGATCTGACGACAAATGCGAGTTGGTCGGCAGAATGAACATGCTGTTTACTGCGTTACAATAGGGGAACATGCAAGAATTGTTTGGGTGCAAATACATGTGCGAGCGCGCACGCATGCGCGATGTGTTGATTCGTGTTAGGTATGAATTTTGCATTGGTCTGGAATGTGCTGATTGGTTGTTCATCAGTGAAAGAATGGGCGTGGGTGTAGGGGGACCTCCGGTCACAATCCATTAAACACCGGCAAAGCTGAACTTGATTTCTATCTTTCATCTCGACTTTTTTTATGATTTGAATCTGATGAAAAGAAATTTCACATTGGTGGGTCCTGTGCGGCATAAAGTAACGCATTAGAATTTCTAAGGAGAGGGAGAAAAAAAATAAAAAGACGAGAGGTAACAAAAGGAAAGACACAAGAAATGGTAAAAAGAAATAAAAAAATAATTAAATTGAAATGAGTACTAGCTGGAAGAACGAAAGGAAGGAAAGAGTGACGTCATATAATTTGGGATAAAGAAAACACAGAAAGAAAATAAGCGCGGGAAGAAAAGGAGAAGTTAGAAGGAATGAAATTGAAAAAAAAGAAACGGAAAGGATGAGAAAGAGAATAAAAGAAATGAAAGAAGGAAATGAGAAAAAGAATGAAAAAACGATAAAGGTCTGAAGAATTAAAACAGTGAAAGAAGAAAAGTAACGAAAAATAAATAAAGAAGCTAAAAGTAAAGATTTCTGAAAGAAAGAAAAAAAAGAATAATGTGGAGACAAAGAAAAAACAAGAAACAAAGACGATTAGTAAGAAAAAAAATATCTGAAAGAAAGAAAGAAAGAAAGGAAGGGAGGGAGGAAAAGAAAGAAAGAAAGAAAGAAAGAAAGAAAGAAAGAAAGAAAGAAAAGAAAGAATAATGTGGAGACAAAGAAAAAACAAGAAACAAAGGCCATTAGTAAGAAAAAAAGTAAAAATATCTGAAAGAAAGAAAAGAAAGAAAAGGGAAGGAAGGAAGGAAAGGAAGGAAGGAAGAAGGAAGATTAGTAAGAAAAAAAAAAGAAAGAAAGAAGAAAGAAAAGAAGAAAATAATGTGGAAGGAAAAAAGAAAAAAATGAGACACAAAATCATTAGAAAGAAAAAAAATAAAAGAAAGAAAAGAAAGAAAGGAAAGGGAGGAGGAAAGAAGAAAAAAAAAGAAAGAAAAAAAAGAAAGAAAGAAAGAAAGAAAGAAAAAAGAATAAAAGACAAAGAAAAAAAGAAAAAAGAATTGAAAAAAGAAAAGAAAGGAAAGGAGGGAAGAAAGAAAGAAAGAAAAGAAAGAAAGAAAGAAAAAAGAAAATGAATAAGACAAGACAAAAAAAAACAAGAAACAAAAAAGAATTAAAAATAAAAAAAAAAAGAATGAAAAAAAGAAAGGATGGAAAAAAAAGAAAAGAAAGAATTAAAAGAAAGAAAGAAAGAAAGAAAGAAAGAAAGAATAATGTGGAGACCAAGAAAAAAGACCATTAGTAAGAAAAAAGAAAAATATCTGAAAGAAAGAAAGGAAAAGAAGGAAAAAAAAGGAAGGAAGGAAGGAAGGAAGGAAGGAAGAAAAAAAGAAGAAAAAAAAAAAACAAAAAACAAAAATCATTAGAAAGAAAAAAGAAGGAATTAAAAAGTAAGAATAAAAAAGAAAGAATGAAAAAAGAAAGAAAGAAAAAAGAAAGAAAGAATGAAAGAAAGAAAAAAGAATAATGTGGAGGCAAAGAAAAAACAAGAAACGAAAGACATTAGAAAGCAAAAAAGAATGAATAAAAAAAGAAAGAATTAAAAAAGAAAGAAAGAAAGAAAGAAAAGACCAAAAAAAGTGTAAAAAAAGAAAACAAAAAAAAAAAAAGGGAAAAAAATTTGAAAACAAAAAATTAGAAAGAAAAAAAGAATGAAGAAAAAAAAGAATTAAAGAAAGAAATGAAAGAAAAGAAAGGATAAATAAATAATAAACGAAAAAAGAAATAACTTTCCCCCAAAAAAAAGACTCATGGGAAAGAAAAAAGAAAAAAACAGAAAGAAAGGAAAAGAATAATAACGGAAAAAAAAAAAAGACTATGGAAAAAAAAAAACAAGCGGACAAACAGCATAAACAATAAAAAGGAAACAAAAAGCACAAACCCAAAAAAGAAATGGACAAAAAATCAACTTAGAACAGAAATATATATATATATATATATATATATATATATATATATATATATATATATATATATATATATTGATAATATTAGTGGAAAATATACATACATATGCAAAATATATATAAAATATTCCCATACATGTATATTTTCAGAAAAAAAAAAATTTTTTCAAGAGGAAGGATCCAGGTAGAACTCAATATCTAGGACAGAGTAAGGATATAATAAAAGGCTTAAATATTAGTGTTTAAGCCTTTTTATTATATATATATATATATATATATATATATATATATATATATATATATATATATATATATGTGTGTGTGTGTGTGTGTGTGTGTGTGCAGGTATGCAGAACACGTTGGTTGCATAATCCGGAGTTCCTTAGTATTTTTGTTTCATTTTTTTTAAGAAGACAGTGCTCCATACAGAAGTAGAGCTTATATTATAATATTTTTTTGTTTAAAAATATGATTCCTTCGCTACATAAGAGTTCTCATGTTTCAAAAACGAGAGCCGAAACCATCCAAATAATTATTAAAATTATTAAATTATTAAAATAAACATATAAATAAATAGATAATCAGATAGACAATAATAAAACACAATCCTCCCGACACATAACGACTTGTAGACGCGCCATAAAATTATCTCTCACTGGGAACGAACTAGAGGATGACCGCCAACATTAGCCTTGAAATAGATACCCTACCCAACCTTAGCAAAACCTCTCAGAAGATGATGAATCTATAGATAAGAATTAACTCTCTGACCACTTAACGAAGAAAACTAGTCTAGCCACTCCCACAATAACGAATGTTATGACGGACCATGCCTAAAAACACACGTAAACCAAAAGATAGCTTATTCCTAAAATTTCGCTTGAAGATGAAACGGGACTAAACACCTCAATTCAACTTAATTTTAATGCTTTCCTCTGTACTCTTTTCCTCTCAATCTGTCCTGTGAGTATCAGATTTGCCAAACCCTCTTTCCTCATTACGCGCCCCAGAGATTTCAACTGTCTCTACCTGATGTTAAGTATAAATTTCCTTTTCGCTTCTCTATTTTCTCCAAAACCTCGCGATTGCTCATATATTTGCGCCATGGTATTCAATACCACATCCCAAATGAAACTTCTAATAGAAAACAGCGTTTCTGCTTCATCTGCCGATGTCAATGTACAGGAAATGTGTGTATCTTTGCTGATGACATAGGTATTCATAGTTGGGATAAGAATAATGTTTATGGCTTACGACCATATCACGTTAAAACACCGCTTCCCGTATGATCACCGAAGTTAAGCAACGTTGAGCTTGGCCAGTACCTAGATGGGTGACCGCTTGTGAATAGAAGGTGCTATAAGGTTGGATGTGCGGGTGGTGTAATAGATAACAGAATTGCTAATCGGAAAGCCGGGTTCTAATTCCAGTTGGATTCGTTATATTCGCTTACGCGCAAATTCCCTTTGGGAAAAGTATGAATCCATCGTGACACCAACTAACTATGGGTTAAATAGTAATACTTGTATCTCTAAATCATTATTATCTCCCCCAAACTAAAAATAGTTTCTGGCTTTAAATAACCTGCAAAGAATTGCTAGGCCGTAGAAAAGGAATCAATCAAGAATGATCTTAACCAAAAAATCAACATCCCCTGTCAAGTGTTCCGAGAATCAGAACCCAACATAAATCTTTCCAAAATAGAAACTATGATCAAGAATTGAGACGAAAGCAGTGATGGCTGAATCTATCATTAAAAATTCAGGATGTGGAATTAGTTAAATAATCAAATGCTGCAAATCTCTCGGTGTGCGGATCATTTATAACAAGTTTATTCTCGAAGGAAATTGAACATAGCTACGCTAGGAATAGTTTCGTCCAATGTAGCAAGTTGCTAAAAAAAAAAAAAAAAATTAAAGTAAAATCTCGATTCGTGTTTGTTATGGTCCGGTTCCTTGTACCCCGGGTGATAGTCCAAGGTAGAACCAATAAAGAAGAACTCGAACACAGGTATGGAATAACATAGATATATTACAAATAGGAATATATACAGAGAAGTAGAAGTGTTAGTACGAACAATCAGGTTTAGTAGAGAGAACAATGTAGTCTCGACCAGTATCACTATTCCAATGTCTTGTAGTAATTGTCTGAACGCGACTCTGTTTCGGACTGACTCTGACTCGACTGTTGACTCGACTTGAACAGCTGACGATATTCAGTTACCCCCCCCCCCACGAGGGTGTCATGTGGCACAAGGCCTTTTTAACGTGGGCATTCCTGAGCCATTAGGCCTTTTGAACCCGTGGGTTCAGGACCGGTTTAATCTCCCGAAGGAGACTCCGCCCTTCGGCATTAGGTTCATCCCGCCCTAGGAAAAATAGTTTAACCGTGCAGTCGGTTCAGAGTTGAGCGACTGACGATATTCCCACCCCCCCCCACGAGGGTTCGTGGGAGCCATTAGGCTCGGCAAAAAATAGCCCATTTAAACCCGTATAACGGGTTCAGGGCCTCCCCGAAGGAGACTCCGCCCTTCGGCGTAGCCTCCTTTAGGAAGAGAGTTCACTTGAACTGCTGAGATATTAGGAAGAAGGCCTTTTTTTTTAACCGTGTATAAAGTCGGTTCAGTTCCTCTCCATCCGGAGACAGAGAGTTGACGATATTCAGAAACCCCCACGAGGGTGTCATGTGGCACAAGGCCCTTTAATGCTCAGCCAAAATTTTTGAACCCGGCAGGGTTTACCTCCCGAAGGAGACTTCATTCGGCGGCTCGCCGTCCGGAACAGAAGTTGAACCCATTCAGAAAATCTGGGCCGTATGAACGGGTTCAGGCACAAGGCCTTTTTAATGTGGGCATTCCCGAGCCATTAGGCTCAGCCAAAAATAGCCCATTTAAACCCGTATAAACGGGTTCAGGGCTGGTTTTACCTCCCCCGAAGGAGACTTCGCCCTTCGGCGTAGCCTCCTTCGGGTTCCGGAGACATGAACCGATCCGCTCAGAAAGTATCCGTGAGGAAGAGAGATGTGGGCATTCCCGAGCCAACCGATCAACCGGTAAAGGGTTCACTTGAACTTCGCCCTGCCTCCTTTCCTACTCCTAAGTTGAACCGATCAAATTTCTGGAGTTCTGACTCCTTTCCTACTCCTAAGGCGCAAATTTATTAAGTATGGAAGAGTCCATTATTATTATTATGGGTAAGATCCCATAACAGTGTTCTCAGTATCGTCAGATCGAGACTTTCATATGGACGTCATGCATGGCGTCAAACTCATTCAGAAATATCTAAACTGTCAGCTGTATACAACCGTTTTCACGGATCAATGATTAAAAATATCGTTGAGCCTGGGCAGCGTATAGATATCAATGACAACCATCCTTTTTCGAACCTCGTGTACTGACGCTACGGAATCGCAAACAAAAGAAATGTATCGGATATCAGAAGCCACGTCACTTGAGCACTTTCAAAAGCTGCTGCAACAACTAAAAGAGATAACAAGTAAAAATAGTGACATAATTAAGATGATGACATCCCATAATTTCAAACAAAAGGCAGAGAAATGATCGCCCCCATTAATACTTGAAAGAACGATTACTGGACTTGAGAAACCTATTTCCTTGAGAAATTGCTTTAATAGAAAGATTTTTATAAATTTCATCCGGCAGAAACACTGGCTGCTCGGTTAATAAATGCCGAATATTTACTTACAAGGAAACGGTCAACATTATACCATTAGGATTAGACTAGGCCAAAAAAATAAATCTTTCTTCGAGTCGATAACCATCACGTGGTCTGTATAACTGATAAATATTAACGGATTTAAATGTGGACATTCGTTTTTTAATCGCGATTTATCCAAAGTTCGTAAGGGTATTTTTTTGCTGATACAATCAAAAATCAACAAGTTAATGTCGTCTGCTGTTCTCAATCTCGAGTGTGACGTACTGCGAAACGAGCGCTTCCCACTAGCGCTAGATTCATGTTTTATTTGCTGAATATTTGCATTTTAACAGGCGACGGAGACGAGGTGGCGCGAACAGTGACTCAAGGTGACAGATAAAAATGACGCCAAGAAGATGGCATAAATAAAGAGAAGAATTTCTCTTTTGTTATTGGCATTGTTGTTCTGATTATAAGCAAGTCAAGCCGAGCAGTGGAGCATTGAAAGCAGAAGATTCGCAATTTCTGCAGTCTGTTTATCAGAGCCATCAACTAACGAAGCGTTCAGGTCTTCTTAATAGGCTAGTAAATTCGCTAGGTTACGGTAAAACAATGTGCTTGCAATTTATTATTAATGTCAAGGTGTGTACAAGGATGTTCGTCTTGATTCGGTCGAGGGTGTTTATTAAACCTGTCGCAGATGAAGTGGAGTTCGTGCGAAATGAAAGGAAATTATGGAGGAAGGAAAGGAAGGAAGGTAGTGGGTGGAAGGAAGAGAAGGTGGAAGGAAAGAAAAAGAAGAGGATTTAAGAGGAAAGCGAAGGAATGCAAGGTGTAAAAAAAAAAGAAATTGGTGGGTAGGAAGAGAGAAAAAGTAAGGAATGCAGTTTGGGAAAGCACAAATAGCGATCACCGTTTCTTTCAAAGTGAGCAGTGTGTGCCCAGAAAATCGAGAGTGGCGCCGCGAAGCTCCTTCCACGGGGACGACATTCAGCAATTGAGTCTCAATTTGCTACTGCCTAAAACTATCATTTTTTGGGGGGACAATCTCTTCAATACCATGGGCCAAACATGTGAGCAACGACGAGGTATTAGAGAGAATGAAAACAAAGATTTATACTTAACACCAGAAAGAAGCAGCTGAAAGTGTTCTGACAGAGTAGAGAAAGTGCGATACTGAAATCCGAAGACGTATTGTGACGGCCAAAGATGCATTCCAAAAGCTAAGCAGAGTATCAAGAAACAAGGAAATTTCGTTGGAAACAAAGAAAAGACTGCTGAAATGTTACGTGATATCTGCTATAGCAGCGAAATGTTGGACAATCTCCTCAAAGATGAAGAAGACACTTGAAACGACAGAAATGTCGTTCTAGAGAAGGATGCTGAGAATATCATGGACATATCATGTAAGCAACGAGGAAGTTTGAGAGTAAATGGAAAACAAAAAGACACTTATACTTAACATCAGAAAGAGAAAGCTGAATTTTCTATAGATAAGGGACTTGAAACTCACAGGACAGATTAAAGGCAAAGAGGATCAGACGAAAACAACGCATAACCTACTTAGTGAGATTAAGTAAATGGATGGCGGGATAAGGTTTAGGAGTGATAACAAAAAGCTAAAAATTTGTTAAGAGATACAAAATACAGGAAATGGTAGAGAGCCATGATCGCCTACGCCCTGAAGAAGAAGATATGTATATGGTGAAAAGTGGGTGTAGAACGTTCGAGTCCCTTCGTAACAGTTTTGAACATGTATCACCATTTGTATTAAACGCAGACAAACCATTTTTAATAGAATAGAGAAACTGGAAACAAAAAGGAATCTTATATTCAACATCAGGAAAAGACGGTTGAAATTTCTAGGGCATATAATAAGGAAAGAAGGCTTAGAAAATCTCATATACAGGTTGAAGGCAATAGGGGCAGAGGAAAACAACGCATAAAACCTACCTAGCGAGCTTGAGTCAATGGATGGCGGAACAGAGTTTAGGAGAAAATAACAAAAAGACAAAGTGCTACAAAAGACAGGAAATTGTGGAGAGCCATGACCGCCTACATCCTGTGGGGATACAGCACATAAATCAGAAACTATATTCTGCGCATTTACAAGCACAGATGTGTAGAACTGGGTACTGATCATTTATGCATTCCATATCACATCCTGACAAGACAGTTGAGACAATCCCAATGAAACGCTTTTGTAGACTGTTTTTAAATGTAGAAGGGATATAGTGGTAAGTATATTGATCCCCAAAGATGATTGGATTATTCGAAGAGAACTAAAGCTTGGCTTGGGACAGGCTGTTTCTTCATGTACTTTACACGTCTGGGTTTTAGCAGACTGTTTTGGAAACGTAGAAAGGATCCTGAGATAAGTGTACTGATTCCCCAAGAGGATTGGATTATTTTGTTATTTCTCCACTTATTTCTTCATGTAAGTTACACGGCTGGATAGTTTCAGGACTTGTATTCACGGTTAGATGCTTATGTAGCCAGTTTTGTCGCAGGTAGGATTTATAACCCGTGACATCAAGGATGGGGTTTATTAAACAAACATGTGAAGGCTTTCTGTCGCTCAACTGATTACATAGATAGTGACGCAGCAAATACCAAGAATTAATATAAGAATTCATTGCATATGATTTTAATATAGGAACATATTGTAAATGATTTTGTTAGAGAAATGCCTTACAAATTATTTT